CTCTCTCTTCTCTCTCTCTCTCTCTCTCTCTCTCTCTCTCTCTCTCTCTCTTCATTCGACATATTTTTTGCTCGTTTCATTTAAATCACAAAAAAAAAAAAAAACAATAGAGCGCAAGCTAATTATCATCGTACTCGTTCGATTGTTCGTGCGTCCAATTTTTCGATAAAGCATGACTCGACTGTGACGGCGTATATTTATAATTGTAATCACGTATATATGCATTTTAACGAGCGTCAAATCATAGATACATGTTGTATATAATAAATATATATATATAAATATAATCATATCTATGTATATAATCATATCTATATAGATATATTACCTAAGATTTACACAGCAATACAAGTGGTGTGTCGAACGAACGGAAATCTTGCGGTCATTCCAACACAGTAACTCAATAGAAACTTAAAGAATTAGAAACGAAAAGAATTCAGCATGGCCGCCAAAAAGATGCGTGACAATAAAAGACTCTCTTTCGGGAGACACTGTTTAAGCAAGTAAAGCTTGCGAACGTGAACCGAAAGCACCATACAAACACTTTATATATATATATGTAAATTCTACTCGACGAATAGGATATTCATTATTTCGAACGTAAATCAACGGACGGACTCGATCGATCATTTTTAATATAGAGATACATAATAATAATAATAATAATATATATATATATATACAAATTTCTGGTTACGCATCATATTTATTTAACAAACCCGAAATTTTCACGCTTACCTTGCGCTGGCCAATCGCGAGTGCTCCTTACTCTTCATCGCTACGGTTGTGTTCGCGTGTCGGCACATCATATAAATCGCCATCGAAAGAAATACCAAGTTCGCCTGATAAGAAAATCAGATGACAACTTTTGTATCGAGCATATATATTGATACGGATTTACTTTTCATCGAAACGAAACGAACGCTCGATGCTTTAAAAATTATCAATGCAACAATTTGCCTCGTGCGTTTCTCTTGCCCTCCTCGCGAATCTTACCAGTATAACGAGTATCACTGGTCCAACGAAGCTGAAGATAAAGTAGTTGTCCGCTCGTAACCAGCAATATCGATCGGTTCCGTAACTGAGAGGATCGATTATACAAGAAATGGCCACGACCAGTAATGGAGCACCGTAGGCGATCAGATAATACCAGCGCAGCCTTGATTTTTCCGCTTCGAACACCTCGATCAGCATCACGTATAATTGGAACCCTGCAAGAAATTTCAAAGTAAAATCTTATTTGTTGCTCGTCGTTCTAGAATTCGATAAACGGCGGATACAACGGATGATAATATTTACGGAATAATATTACGGGTAGAGTATATAGGTACCTTCGAGGAACATCCAGGCGAATGCGCAAAGGAAAAAGAAATGCAATAATCCAGCGACGATACCGCAGACAATTCTCTGGTTCGTTTGCCCGATTCCGCAAACGAATAAAATTTCCGCGATCAACAGGCACACGCAGAGATTCTTGTGGATCGTTGTCCTGTCCGACTGGAAGATATGGCAAGATTGGAAATTCGATCATGATGCAAAAATTCGATGGTATCGTGGCTATTAAATTACCTTCAATCCACGAAATAATTGAAAGGTCAGAATTGCCAGAACCAGGCAAACGACGGAAATGATACAACCGATATAGGTGATGATTTGCAACGCGACCTGGTGAGCTATGTCCAATCTGACAGCGTGAACGTCCATTAGAACGGCAAAATTTGTAAGATGATTGCACTCGCACACCGTGTGAGTCTCGTTGGTTTTCCGTATTTCGCAACCCTCCTCTGACCAAGCGCTGCAAATTAAAAATATCGATTACGTTAAAAATATCAGTATTCAATGAAACGAATCTCGGGAACGCGCGTTAATAATTAGAAAAAAAAAAAAAACTGTTTAATCACCTTAAGATGTAATCCCAGAATACACAAGTCGGATTGGTAACGTTCTCTATAGATAAATGCTTGAAATAGACCCTGACAGGCTCGTTAAGCTGAATATGCCTTCCTTTGCCTAAAGACGCGGAGATCACTTTGCTATTTAGAAGCCTGGTCGTGTTCCTTTTCGGTAATGGTTGCTGCTCGTCGTTCATGACCAACGATGACACCTCGGCTTGCGGCTGCAAGATCTCCTCAAGCCTGTCAAAGGCCATGAAGACCAAACGGACAATGCCACCCTCGCTGTTCTCTAGCAAAGCTCCTCTAGTTAACTCGACACGATCGTTCGAGGCTGTCCACCTCTGTTGAGCTGCCTCTGTCGGGAATATCTCTAAATCGTCACCGATGTTTCGTGCATCCAACACGCGTACTTCCATCACTGTTTCGAGAAAAATATTATTTATATATATATATCGTGGATAATATCAAGCGTTAAGTGATGGAATAGGTGGAATTGCTATTATCGATCCAACCGAAGAATTCGCTGATTCTTTTCTCGCTCAGATTATATATCTCGATCATTCTGTAATAATCTCTCCGCCTTTGTTCATCGATTTTAAATATTCGAACGTAATAAATCCGTGGAAATACATCCGTCCAAGCGCGTATTGCATTATTGGAATAAAATTTATATCCCTCGAAGGGATAGCGTATCTCTGGATAGAGTTAACCGAACTCTACAACGTTCGACAACAATCCCACGACTATAAAGTTTCGATTCGTCTTCTCGAACATGAACAATAAAACTAAAAACCCGCCTTTATCTTTCTGCCCGCCATTTTTTCCTTGGTCGGCGTTCCTCTCATCGCCATCGTATTCCCCATTCGATCAGTCATAAACGTGACGGCACGGCCGACAAGAAAAAAATTGGAGGCTAGCCGGCGATAGTAGTTACTTTTCTGTTAGCACGGAAGAAAGAGCACGGTCAGTTAGGGGAATATTATGTTACATGGCATCCGGCCGGCTGTCGCTCATCAAATCCATCTTCTTTTTTACCCCTTTACTGTTATCCTATTTATCACGTGCGGATCTAATGTTGGTGCTACCACTTGGTTCGACCGCGGCGCAGAAACATGCTCCCAGCCTCAATCACGACCGCGCGCGCCACGTTACTTCCAGGAAGTAAATCAAATTGCTCGTAATTTTCTCGGTGTTTTGTTGTGCTAATACAACAGGGCAGGGAGGGAGAGAGGTAAAGCTCGGGTTACAACATTATCCAGCCAAGATAGCAGAGAATTACGATGGGTTTGGATCTTTGTTTTATCCACGCCGGATATTACCAGCGTCGCATTCCGCGAAGATAAGCGATCTAGATTTACGCGACCCGATCCCAAAGTCGGACCTACGATTGCATGTCCATTGTGCTAGACGACTCAACGTTAATTCGTTATCCCATTCGCCACTCCTTTTTACAGAGTCACAAAGTGTCCCTCTTTCTCTCTCTTTCTCTATCGGACGATCTAAATTAGTTGGTGGGTAATTTTTACCATTCAAATATCGCGTGTGTACGCGCGGTTGTACGATGATAATTCCGAAGACTAATTCTGGAGATGCCCGTCTCGAATTCCCAATTATGTTTCGCCACGAATGGTGAAACTCGCGAGATCTAATTTCCCAGAGATCTAACGTATCCCTTGCGTTCTATTCGAGTAAAAGTATAGAGTACTCACGTATGTTCCTTCCCTCGTGAGTGATCGTTTTCTCGTGCATCAACGTGTCGGCGAGCAAAAACGCGTTCTCCTCGAGGCCGATCAATAAAGAGGTCGCGACTCTCATCTGCTCCTGATGGCTCAGATCCTTCCACGACGCCATTTGCGCCTTGTCCAGCAGGTTGCTACCCGTCCTCACGACACCTTGGAGCAGCTCGGTCACGCTCACCTCCCTCTGATTCGCGTCCTGATACGTTCTTATATCCTGCGCCATCTTCTCCGCCATGTTCTTGATGATCTTCGTCGTGATCATCATGTCGCCACCGTAAAGCCCTCTGCTGTTGTTGGTCACTTGGGACAGTTCACGGCTGATTCCAAGGATCACGTCGCCTTCCGTCACCCTGTTCTCGAGCGTGGTGAGCCAAACGGAGCGGCACTCGCTCAGATCCGGGCTGTCCCTGTGCCAGAAGGCGGTGTCTCCCCTGGCCAGGCATCTCCAACGCGCCAAACCGTTTGCACCGCCTGGACAACTCTGGACAGCGACATCGCCCGCCCTGGTCGTGTTCCACGACAGGTTCCTGGCTATCACCGGGGGACACACTTGTCTGCCGTAGTCGTACCATTGCCCGTTCGAGCTCGACTCCGGGTATAAGGTACTCGGCACTGCAATATTTGAGTTAGTTACGAGCGTTAGTTGCCCCGTTTACCCGGCTTTAGTTAATGGCGCGGCTTTAATGTGATTCTAGTGTCCGATCCTCGGCGGACCGGGAGCTTAGCTCGCGCGCAACATCGTATCGGGTCTGCGAAATGGAATTTTGGATACCCACGGGTGCTTTAATCTTTTGCACCGATTGTTACGCGGAGTTGGCGAGAGTTATATCGAAGTCGAAGGTTTGCCTCGATACGATTTATACACGAGGCGCTAGTCTCGATGGTATACCGGTACTTTAATAATACGCGGTTGCATTTACACCTCCCGGGAATACGAATTTGGCCGGGAAACGTGTCGAAAAGAAGAAAGAATCGGTATATCGATTCGGATATTCAGATTTTCGGGATATTCTTCGTTCATCGAGTTTCGTTTCAAGCCCTATCCCTAGCCCTACTCGAAACTCTCTCTGGCGGTGTTCTGGCGGCTGTCTTTTGAACATTAACCCTTTCGGTTCGGATCGTGTAACTGTAATTGACAGCTGACAAGCCCTCGAGCGAACCGTGTCGACCGTAATCGAGTAGAGATGTTTCGAATTACCCCGCACGCATGAATGGATAGATCGTTGCAAGATGTATATTATTTATTTATAGTTGATCGAATAATAAATAATTAATTCAATATCTTCGATCGAACACAACGATAATGGAATGGGGGAGCAAATTAGCTTTGTCCGTCAAACCTTCGACTTCTGGAGCACCGATTTGGGCGATATAGAATAAACGATACACAGTTCGCGTAAAACGCCATCAACGGCGCTGTTCCCTCGTTTAGAAGAAGATCAAACACTCTCGAGAACTTACCAGTGGTCCTTCGACTCGTTCTCCAAGGGGCAAAGGTCGACGTGGTTGTGGGTTGAGTGGTCTCAGGAACGATCGGAGGCATGGCCGGTGCATTCGCAGACGGAACATTGGCAGGAGATATTAAGTCTTGGTCCAGTTCGACCTCCATATCGAGCGGCGACCTCGTCGACGTGGGACTGTGAAACGGAACGGTCGTTCGTCACTTTGAAACTCGATGCATCTAACTAACGAAAATATTTCCTTCCCCGACCGAGGAGGAACGTAACGCAATTTCCACTTTTAATGGAACATTTCGACACAACTTTGTTTTTCCAACTAACACACAAGGAGAGATCCTGTATCGTTCCGAACCGATGACAAAGTTACGCACGGCCACGTACGCACGGCTACGTGGAAATATCTTTATTATTTCACGCTTCAATTTGGGAAAAATATCATCCACGCGGCGATGTATCTTTCGCCCGATAGTACCGATGAAAATTATCACGGACATTTTTCCAATTTTTCCTCCCCCTCCGAATAGCGAAGGAACAATATTTCGAAGCGGAAAGTTTGAAAGTTGGAAAAACTAAATAGAGTGGAAAGGATACACGTTGAAAAGCATCAGACATTTCGTATTTAATTCGTGTTTAAAGTGTACCGACCTTGGAGTGGTGGTTATCGGGAGCGCCGGGGTGGACGGTGCTGGTGGCTGCGGCGGTTGCTGAGCCGAGGGTGTCGTAATCCTCGAGGGAGGCCTGACAGTCGGCTTAGCCGTGCTCCAAACGCTCGGCTGAGAAGTCATGAACCACGGAGGACTCGGACGGGACGTTGTCGTGGTCGTTGCCGCTGCAAGTGTTGGTGTTTTAATTCGTGGAGGTGAACGCGCGCCAAAGAAGGGCGAGAAACGAAACAGGGGGCGAAAGCGTGGACGGAAACCGAAAGAGAGGCTCGCTAACTTTCGCCAGGGGGGGGGGGGTTACTCTCGAAAATCCTGAGAGCTCGTCCACGAGCTTATCGGATTCGAACGTCGAGTATAATTAAAAAGGAAGTAATTCGAGGACGTCGAGGGTGAGGTAGATGAGCTAGCTATCCGTCGTCGACGGATATTTTAAACGATCGTTGCAGTTGCACGTGGATGGTAAGGATCGATCTCTCGTTGATCTCTCGTTTTCTCTCTCTCTCTC